AAGGGGCCGTTCCAATGTAGCATACCTTTTGTGAGACATCCGAGGGTGAACTCTAGAGGAGGCAGGAGCTGTTCCAACGCAGCCGACTGTTTGTGAGCCAGGGGCCATTCCGATGTACTCGTAGCATACCTGCATGGGTAAAAATTTGGAGGAGGAAGGAACCATTCCAACATAGCCGAGCCGTGAGCCACCCAACCGTAGATTTGGAGCAGGATGTACCATACTATTTGTGGTCCATCCGCAGGTAAAACTTCGATGAGGAAGGGGCCATTCCAACGTAGCATACCTTCTGTGAGTCACCTGAGGGTAAGATGCCATCAAACCCGAAGCCCACAGAAGCCCACCACAAAGAAGACCCTCAAGAAGTGAAACTCCCATCCAAGCCCAAAGAGATCCTAAAGATAAGACAACTCAGCCAAGCCCAAAGAAACTAAGTTCCTTTCTCCTCGTTGCTCCTTCTCCTTTGCCTTCTCGTCCTCCCTCCCTTTCCGCTGTTCCCCTCTCCCCTTCTCCCTCCCTCTCCCACTCCCTCTCCCCCATGTCTATGAGGTTTCAAGAAGCTGCACTTTCTCGTGAACAAGTGCAGCTGCAGTTTCAAGAGGTCCAGACCGGGCAGTTCAGCTAGGCTAGCCTCGACCCAAATCAAACTCAAGCTGTGTTTTCAATTCTTCCACACTCTCCAGGGTATGTCTATAACTCATGAAGACATTTATTGGTTGAATGATCTGTTTGTTGATTGGTTGAAGGTTCTCATTGTCATGTTGAAACTGAAGCCTGCATTGGCCGGTGTCAGCGTCAACAATGTCACCAGGTTCGCCCATACTTCAACCGGGCGCTGCATGTGCCGGAGCGGGATTGGAAGAACCTATATAAGATGGCCGAGCAGAATTCTTTGAAAAAATCCAAACATTTCCAAATCAAGACCACTACACTCATACAGACTCATACACCAACCTCTTCATGTTTGGATTGTTTACACAACGCCCCACGTCCAGTGCGAAGAAGTGTCATGAATGCGGACAGTTGAAGAGAGTGGGAATACTGAGCTGTCCTTTGTTCGTAGTTGTTGGTGTTATTTTCTGCGACCTCTTTCTGTGCATAGGTGTGAGTTTGTTTGTTGTGTTTCAGTTAGCGTCATGTCCAGCACTCATTGAACGTCCACAGCCCGACAGTCGACTCATGTCGATGCTGAGACTCCATGGACAGAGACTCGAGCTGTCCACCATGCAGCGTTTCAGGGTGGACGCAAACCATACGAATCAAGTCACATTGTGAGAATCGGTTTGAGGTGTACATTGAGGATCAATTTGGTCTTAGAGGATGAACGCAACAAGTTTGCATGCGTCTTTGTCTCGGTTTTCTTTTGAGAAAACCCTTTCTAACTGCGTGGAGCAGTTCGCCCTTGGCACAACTCTTGCGTGGAGCAGTCCTTCCAATTGCGACCAGGACCTTGCTCAACAAAGACCAGGCGGCCTCTTCACGCAAGACTTGGATTGGGCAGGCCATGGCGATCACAGGACTTCGCAAACGAAGGGACCCCAGACGACGACCGACCGTTCCTGGAGACCGTCACCCGCGATTGGCATCGTTTGGCGGGCTGGGTTTGGGTCTGTCCATGTCTGTCCTATTATATACCTGTAACATCCTGTAACAGTCAGTAAACAATGGTCATGTTTGAACAAGGCCTTTACTCATCATCCACTGTATTCCACTGTTACAGGTAATAGGATAGACCCAACATGTCATGAACGTTGAAACTTGTGTTTCAATTCATATAGTGGCTGTGGGCGCTGCATGCCGCTGCGAGATCCCCGACGTGAGCATGGTGATGATTGATAATGGCTTTGGTTGACTCCCTGGTGCTCAATAAGGAATGAGGAATGGATCCATGGTCCAAAGGAATCTCTATTGGCGCTCACTCCGTAAACCGCTGCAGTCAGACCATATCAGACCCAAGAGCAACACACAGTCTTCCGGTCTCTTCGGTGGATCCAAGCTTCACCGAGCAGAGCATTCCCGACAAGCTCACTCGATAGACACAAAAACTGTTGTGCTAGCTTCGTGAAGACGAAAGAGTCAAGGACTTTGTGCACATAAATAACAAACAACAAAAGAACCGTATGAAGCACGCAGAAACAGTATTTCTAGAAAGTTCAGTTCTAAAATGTTCAGAGTTATTGATTCAACACTGCCAGTACAGGGCGATCCTCCCCTCGGTTAACTCGAGATTCGCATGTGGGCCTCCTTACTTCTCACATGGTGGTGGACCCGACCTGTGTTTCCAAACCAAATTGGTTGTTGCAAGGGAAGCTCTTCTTGCATCAACTTTGGATCTCATGTGGATAAACACTGAATCCCGAGATGTGTTTTGTTTATCGATTGCTCTGCCTGGCAGGTGCTGAAGCCGCGCTTCGCCAGAAAGGACTGGTCCGATTATTTGTTGGTTGGGTGAGTCTTCACAGTCTTCACTGCGCTTTCGCTTTCAACAGCGACGGGGTGGGGTCGTTTCATAGCACCGGGGTGGGATGAGGAGTGGCCATCTTGGACGGAGTGTTGACAGAGAAGGCTTTGCGATTGGCGGCATGGCAAATGCTTAGATCGAGTTGAATCCTTCGACTGAAATGTGGCATCCATGAAGAACATGAACTGAAAGCATTGGCAATGAAAGAACAATAAGAAGCAACATGAAATAGCAACCAGTAATTCTGCGGGTTTGGTGCCCAGATCAAAACATCACTAGAGATTTGGGTACTCATTTGTCAGATCTTAAAGTGATGACGCAACATGCCCAAACGATGTTCACAACTATCTCCCTAAGCTCTGATGTGTTTATTCTGGAATGGGTCCACTGTTTGTAGTGGAGGGTTTGCACCACCCCCTTTAGGGCCACAGGTTCCAGGTGCAATTTGATGTGTCAAGGTTTCGATGTTTAAGTATATATTATATAGGCTATAGACTATATATATATAATTATATTAACTTTGTTGTCTTAATACATAGCGAATAATATGTTAAGGTTGTGATGTTTATATCTAATGATATATTTCAACCGGACAAGTCTTCGCTTTTTCATGATGAGGTCCACCGCTGGCTGAGCGTGTCCACTGTTTGGTTTCAATCACTGCAGGACATTCTGCAGAAGTGTTTTACGATCAAGCAGAGAGTTGAGAATGGGTTTTAGATGGATTTAGAAAAATAACAACAAAAGAAAATCAACACTTTGTTCATTTTTTGGCCCTTTCATATCTTTCGTCATCACCAATCTTCACATCATCTTTAAAGAGAGCCTCTCGGTTTGCCTCTCAGGAGGGGAAAATGATGAAAGCCCAGCTACGTGATGGACTTCATGGAGAGCCCGGCCTCCGACTGGTGCAGGAACTCCAAGAACTTCTCCCTCGACTCTTGGGACAACAAGCCTTGTTGGACCTCATCGCATATCGCCACGGTCCACGCAGCCAGGGTCTAGCTCCACACTGTTTGGACGGTTTTCTCGCTGTGATGATGTGGCTGGGCGATACAGCTGGCAGCTCAGTGACCATCAGCGATCTTCGGAAGACCACAGATAACCATTGCAGCAGTCTTTACGCGCGGGTGGGACCTGCCCCTTCTTCAACCTTAGACGATTTTCTAAGCTCCCATGACATCCCACTCGTCCCACACATGGGTGAAGAGATTCCTTGTGAAGAAAACCGTGCGGTGATTCTGCGGACTACCCACGCAGTGACCACATCGCACGTGCGACGGCAGAGAGCCTTTGACCGACATCCAGTCGATCTGATCCTACATTTTGGCGAAAATCATGCTGAAAAGAAGGATCGTCAAGGAACCAGGGACCGTTTTCTTCCTACCTTTGAGGGCAAGACTGACTCATGGGGTGGGCACTACTACGCACAGGATCACGACCATCGATGAGTCCGGCCACTCTGAGATCCGAGATCCTTCGATCCTGAGATCGTGGAGGTGCGAGGTGATCGAACATGATACTCTTAGAAGGACTTAGAAGGAATGTGCCATGTGGGCAAATGTGGGCTATGAAATGAGCCACGGAGATCCACGGAGACATGAGTTGCCTTTAAAAAGCCCTTGGACGGCAGCCGCAATCCATGCATGTTCTACAAGGAGTTCATCTCTGGCTTGATTGAGCAGCGGGTGAAGTTTGAGTCGTTCAAGGGAGGTAAGCAAGACTTGAGCAGAATGCCCGACCTCACCTTGGACGATTTTAAATTTCACTCAAGTAAAACCAACTGATGCCGGGTGCGCTTGAACGCTGGCATGTGAAAATCTTTGTGAGCGACTTTCGATGCACCATGCTTCGAGCGATTTGGATGATATAACTATGATTTGGGGACTCTTTGGAGGCGGACGCAGGATGATGCCGGGAAAGACAAGCGAAATACTGGCGAACCTGCCGCTGTTTCTATGATTTCTATGGCGAACTGCGGTGCCGCTCAGAGGACGACCTCTACCGCTCCCAGTCGTTGGTCCCGCTGTGTGTCCAAAAAAGCGCGGGCCTTCGATGAGGGAAGTGTCGAGTAGAGCTCCGAAGAACAGCATGTCTCACATGCAGTGGAGATTCACAACTCATCAAGTGTAGCTAGCTCTTGGTCCCTGGAGCTTTCCATTTGGGCTCAAAGAAGATTCTTACGAAGCATTTGCTTCGTCCTTGCCATGGCGTCCTTGCCCCAGATCAGCCATCAAGCCTTTTTTGGTGAGTATGGAACGTGTTATATAGATAGACGGTCAAAACGGATGGGACCTATACTATTTTAATCTATTATACTTTACCCCAAAAGTGCTTGCGCGTCGTCACATTTCCGGTGTCTCACGAAAAAAACTCAGAAACGTCCGTTGTGATGGGAAATGCCCATTCACAGATTCACAAAAAAAAAAAGAAGCGCCGCTTGTGATGTCACTCTGAGGTTTGTGGAGCCATGGAGACAACTTGCAAGATCGACCGCCCTGGTCGCCCCGAAAACGACGACTTGGTCGTCCCGAAAACCCCCAGGCCGGGACACTGGAGGGTCGAGTCGTGGAACGAGGTCCAAAACAGTATATGTCCAGGTGCTGCAGGAAAGAACTTTAGTTATTGCAATCAGCTTGGTGTAAGCCGCTCAGGGGAGTAGCCTCGTAGCCTTCTTCGTGTGAGGGGCTCATACTCAGTAGCCGGTTTCAATTTACTGAGGACCGTTTCATTCAGTAGTGGTTTCCCCCAAGCAAGCTTAGCCCGAATAGAACAGAGGTATGACTCATACCATATGCGCCTGCCTGTTCAAATCGCTTGCATTGTTTCTGCTAGTTTCATAAGCGCCACTTGTAGCTAAGACAGGCCGATGGCTGGTGCCAGAAATCGTGGCCGCTGATCTCAGAGGGGTTACCACGGGTGGATACCACGGGTGTAGAAGTTTCTCTATCCAGATGAGATGATCACTGGTTGGGTTTTGTGATGGTTTGAGTATGTTTGAGTCTTCTAAGATGTGCCGTCACACCCCACAGACCTCCACGCGATTTGGTAGGCCTCAGTGTTTTCGGGGGCAAAACAAGCTTCGCTTCTCCTGGGAGAAGTTCTCATGAAGTTCTTGTCTTATATGTTCTTATAGAGTCCTGAAGGAGCCACTGATCGTGAGTGCCCCAGGCCGGAAAAGCTTGCCCGGAAAGGGCACTGATGGGCCCCGCTTCGGGGCTGGAGTCTGAACAGTCTCCCTTCCTTCATCAAATCTCCAAGACGTAGTCAGTGGTGACGTATGGTGACGTGCTTTGGTCTTGTCGTGTTGTCTCACAGTCCTGGACCAGACCTAAGACCACCTGGGCAGCTGATGATCATCATATCACCATATCACCGCTGATCTCCTGGTTGATTCATGTTGAGCTGCTTCTCTGCGCAGTGCCACAGAGTGTTGCACGAGGAGAGACCTGTCGAGACTCGCTCAGGCATTGCGCGGATCCACTTTGTCTATGGCAGCTGCAGTCCTGCTCTCAGGAATGTGGTAGACACCCGAAGATTAAGGTGTAGGCGAACCAACAGTCGCAAGATAAGCATCCGAGAGCAGACAAGCAGCAAACGAATCATATATGTTAATATATTATGCCGTATACAGTATAAGTATAAAAAAATATCAAACATGATCGGTATCAAAAACACATGATTGGTTCCCAAGTCCCCTCGTCCCTTGATCCCCCTGGTCCCCCTTGTCCCTTGGTCCCCTTAGTCCCCTTGGTCCTTGGTCTCCTTGGTCGTTTGTGATCCCTTCCTCCCCTGCCCCCTTGGTGCCCTTCTTACTTTGGTGTTCTTGGATGCTTGTGATGGATGCTCGATGGAGTAAGCACAAGGGAACAGTGAGGAGCTTTTCAACTGAATCCCATGCAGGTTCCATGCGACAAAGGACAGATGCAAGGATGAGGCCCACACCCTCTTTTCCGTTCAGGACCGAGTGTGGAATGAGGCCGCCCACCTTTACCCTTTTGTGGGCCAACTGATGGCCAAATTGAGAGCAAGAACGAACCTCTCTTGTCAGACCTCGAGGGTCAGACCTTACCCTTTTGTCGAGCCGAAGCTGTGTCCCTGGGCTTTAAGAACCGCTGGTGTCAGCGATGGCTTCACTGGCCCTGTGTGTCTTACCTATGATTTTGAGATCGTCATGATGCAGACACCTACGTTCTCACATCATCATCACCATCACCAACAACAACAACATCAACATCCTCACCATCAACATCACAAGCGTCATCACCGATCACACATCACATCACCACAGTGCTCCTCAACATGTTTGATGTGTTCGTATTGCTGCGGTCCGTTCGGGTCACACTGTCCTCACTCTTTTCAAAGCAACCGGAAAAGCAGGCTCCGTGTGCTCATGGAGGGGAGGCCCCTTCCCGCGCCAGTACATGCCATCCTTAGCCCCGGCTTTGCCACAAGATTTGCAAAGTTATATATATCAATGGTTTTGTTTGTTTTTTTCTTTGGTTTCCTACATGTCCTGTGGTTTGCATGATGAAGATAGAATGTGGAACAGACCTGGCAAATTCTGTTGTGGTATCTCCCCAGGGTAAAATTTACAAGACACCATACACAGCCAGCTCTGGACCATGTGAGGGTCTTACATGAGCTAGCATGAGCTATCCCAGCCTTACACATCCGTTTGTGCGCCAACCAAGGGTAAAAGTTAGAGCGGGAACAAACCATTCCAAACATAAACCATACTCGTTCCCCTGCTGGCCGGAGCCTTTCAGATCTCGCATACCTTTCGATAGCGGCCCACCCAATAGGGAAAAGTTATTACAAACGTTACACACCCTGTTTTGGGCCATTCCAGGGCAACATCTAGGGCGGCAGGAATTGTTTCAACCTCATGCGCCCTTTTGTGGGTCGAGTGCGGGTTTAATTTCGAGCAGGGTGGAAGTGGAAGCCATTACCTTCCACTCAATTATGCACGATTATGTACATCAAGCGAGCTCCTGTAAGACTTGACCCCTTTTGTGGGCCCGCCCTAGGGTGAAATGTCCAACAAACCTTACGCCCCATTGTTGGGAGCCCCAGGGTTCTGTCCTACCAGAAGTTCAAGGAGACTTTTGTGATCCTTGTTATCTAATGTTCTGTTTGATCGTCTAAACATGTTTTGATTCATTTTTTGGATCCCTGACCACGTGTCAGAGTGTTCAACCGAAACATTTTAGCTACTGTAACACCATGTAACACCTATGATGCTGTCATGTGGTGCCGAAAGAGGATACGTCCAGCTTCGATGTCCTGTGCACGAGCAGGTGCTTGCCCCAAAAGGGAACACTGCTCGTACAAAGCGAAAACACCAAGAACTTCAGATGATTCTTTTGGCTTGATGGTTTGTTTGAACCAAACCCTTTCAATATCTTGTTCAACCAAAATTTTTGATTGAGTAATCTGCGACGGGAGCTGAGGCTGCAGTTCAAGGCCGAAGAAGAGGCCGAGCTGTGCCGGACACTTATGGTACTTAGAACTGTGCCACTTGTGCACAAAGTCTAGCTCTGCTTCTGAGGAGTAGTATATTCAGATATGTTCAGACATATTCAGTATTTGGGATATCGCACACAATAATGTTCATCCAGAAGTGATTATATATAAGGATATTGGATATGATATAGGAGTATTCTATTGGATCTAGTATATTGGTGTACAGTCCTTGCATCCCTCATGCCTTTCACGCCGCTTTGATCCGGTCCGCCCTTTGCCACCTGTGTCGCGAAGCGTCTACACCGAGTCTACACCGAGTCACGGCCCAGGTCGGCACCGAGTTTGGAGAGTTCCTTGGCTTTCGGACCCAGTTCCCAAGTTTGGTTTGGGACTTTAGCCCTTTCCGACCCAGTTCGTCAAGGGATGTGCGGTCGTTGCTTTCGAGGGGATCAAGCCCCGAAGCATCCTGTTTTTAGGTCCACCCCGAACACGGGGGATGCCATGCCAGCTTGCGAAATGCTGTCTCCACACCAAATGCGAAGGGATACTGAGGTGTTCCCGTTTCCTCCATGTCACCGTGCGACCGTGGTAAACACCCGTGCGACCGGACCGTTCAGCGTCTGGCGGGAACCAGGTGCGGAACGGCCAGCGGAATGGCGACTGGAAGCACTGCGGGAGTTGATGAAGATCCATCAATTGGATGCATACTTCGTGACCAGTGAGGACGGACTGGACGGATTGGGGATGAGGATGGAATGATGGCATTTTGGTCACAAGAAAGGAGTTTTGAGACAGCTTTAAACAAAATTCCACATGTGTAGCATGTTCCCTTCCGCTTGGTGTTTATGGGGACATACCCATGCTGGGTCATATTGCTTCGACACAAGGCCTTTCCTGTGACTGAAAGCAGCGAGAAGCAGTAAACCTTGCAGGATGCGCATGCTTCAGAATATGTTTGTTCCGCAGACGAACGGAGAAGCTTCTTGACGGGATTCTCAGGCAGTGCAGGCAGCGCGCTGGTCACTGCTGAGAAAGCGCTCCTTTGGACAGACAGCCGTTATTTCCTGCAAGCAGAAAAGCAGCTGGCAGGAACCGAATGGGTGCTGATTCTCATCTTTGTTAGGCAGAATTCTTGCTTTGAGTTCAAGTTCCTAGTCATTTAAGTTGAAAGGAATAGAGGCGGTATAGGGTTAACTACTTTCCCGCTTCGGATGGAACAGCAAGGATGCGTCAGTTTCAGCCTGGCGTACCAGAGTTCTCTGACTGGGCCCTTGAGCACCTCAAGGGTAAATGTGTTGGAGTAGATCCTCGTTTCATTTCAGCAGAGACCTCAGAGGACTGGACATCAAAGTGGGGTTCATCTGTTCAGTTGAAGGAAATAGGCACCAACTTGGTGGATGCTATTTGGACAACTCGTCCAGAAGATCCTTGCAATGCTGTCCAAGTACATCCCTTGAACCTAGCGGGTGAGACAATCGAGAGCAAGCTGAAACGGCTACGAGAAGCAATCAGTGCCGAAGGAGCTAGTGTCATTTTACTTAGCGCATTGGATCAAATAGCATGGCTCTTCAATCTGAGAGGCTCAGACATTGAATACAATCCAGTGTTTTTTGCCTATGCCGCAGTGTTTCAAGACACCGCCATACTATTTCTTCGGTGCTTGGATGCAACTGATGGCCTTCCGGATGAAGTGCTTCACCACCTAAAAGGGGCTAATGTAGAGGTAAAGCCTTACAAGCAATTCTTTACAGAGATTGCGACCCTACTGAAGCCAGAGGAGAAGGTTTTTCTGGATCCATCCTCCTCCTCCTTGGCCTTGATGAGTTTGGTTAGACATGACCTCAGAGTCACAGGGATTTCCCCAGTTGAAAAATTTAAGGCCTGCAAGAATTCAGTGGAAATTGAGGCTTTGAAGCAAGCATGTAAAAGAGACTCGCTGGCACTTTGCGAGCTTTTTGCCAGTTTGGAGGCAAAGTTGTCCCTTTCGGAAAGTGAGCAAGTGCCAATCACAGAGGTGGATGTTGGCGACATGATGAAAGAGCTCCGACAGAGGGAGCCCTTCTATGTGGGTGATAGTTTTCAGACGATCTCATCCGTTGGTTCCAACTCTGCAGTGGTGCACTACCAACCAGAAAGAGACACTGGCAAGTCTCTTTCAAAGATGGTGATGTATTTGATCGATACGGGTGGACACTACAAGGACGGAACGACAGATGTCACACGTACCATGCATTTTGGATGTCCCACACAGGAGCAGAAACGCATCTACACCAGAGTCCTGCAAGGTCACATTGCATTGGCAAGTGCTGTGTTTCCAGAGGGCACCCCGGGGCTCTTGTTAGATGCCTTTGCTAGGGGGCCCCTGTGGAAGGATGGGTTGGAGTACGGCCATGGTACAGGGCATGGCATTGGAGCCTATCTAAATGTGCATGAAGGACCTGCGCAAATTGGTGGCGGCTGTGTTCCTGGAGACAGGATCCAAGAAAATCCGCGCCGAAGGCGGTTGTTCTTAATGCCCATCCAAGCTGGATTCTTCCTCTCAGATGAGCCTGGTTGCTACAAAGACGGAGAGTTTGGTGTCCGGATTGAATCTGATATCTTGACATGCAAGGCAGAAACTCCGTACAAGATGTCCACACGTCGCTTCTTGAAGTTTGAGTACTTGACATTGGTTCCGATGTGTCGGAAGCTGGTGGATGTGTCCTTATTGTCTGTGTCGGAGCAGCAGTGGATTGACAGCTATCACGCTCGTGTTTGGGAAGAGCTGAGAAGCTCTTTGCACAGTGAGGCGCAGAATTGGCTTTGGGAAGCGACTCGCCCGTTGAAGGCAGAATGACCAAAATGACCGCAGCAATAAACCGACCGGTTGGAGATGGCGTTGTGCAAACATGCAGAAACGCCATCAATCTGTCAGGAGGCGTCTTACTGGCAAAGAGATGCAAAGTGCAATGGGATCATCTGAGTGGTTGAGTTGGCACTGAGAGTAAACTGATGGCTGTTTCCCATGCCCGTCTTTCCCGGATTAGTACTTGGAGTTCTAGGTGGAGCTGGGCCCATGCGGAAAATATGCGAAAGGCTCTTTCTTTATATTGATCCAGCAGGGCATGTGTGGTTTGGTTGGAAACTAGGGATTTTCGCTGTGCTGCAAGACATGGAAAGGAGATGAAAGGAGCTTGAACGAGAAGCTTGGGTCATCACCCATCTCCTCAATGACAAGTACTTGAAAGTCGGACTGAAGAGTAATGTGTCGAGAACATCACCCCTTTGGAACTGGTCGAAGTTTATTTTCCACAAGCTAAGCAGCTAAACTAAACCGGTTCGCGCAGCGTTTGGAGTAGAGCCAGCTGCGACCGCAGTCTCGGCTCCTGGTCGCAGTCTCGGCTCCTGGTCGACGCCGGGCGTTGGGCGTAACATGGCGTCCCAGTCTTAGCGTCAAAAGGCGGTCCTAAATGGGTGTCGACGTCCAAACAAGAAGCTACAAACGGGGCTCCTGGCATCGCTACGAACGGAGTATTCTTACTACGAACGTAACAAGAAGCTATGGCGTCCCTCCTGAGGTCTGTGCCGCCAGGCACTGCCTGGCGCGCAGCCGCGCCTTCGACGGCGGTTTGGTCAGAAATCCCCCGAGGCACGGTCCGAGGGACTGAGAGCTTGCCGGTTACAGAGTGACAGGAAACAGGAAAGTGTACCTTTTTTTTGCAGGAGCGAAATAGAGGCATCAAATCAGGGCCTCACGTTGATTGACTTGCTTTCTTTTTTGATGTCCTTTCTCCCTTGATAGACGGTCTGCCTTCGAAGCGGTTCGATGTCAAGCCTCTGAATAAGACTATTCCGCGCGATTGATCAAGTCAAGTATTTATTTATAATATATATACATACACATATATATATATGTATGTACACATATGTTATAATAGGTGGAACACATCCCAGTGTGCTTGATTGGCAGGGACCATCGGGCAAAGGCAGTTGCCCACAGGCATGATGGGAGAGATGCAAGATGCAAACGGAAGATATGCAAGCAATGCAGAATAGATCTATAGCTCTTTTGGAGCTTGCCTCTCAAATGTTAGAGTGGCACTTGTGAGACCCCTTTATTACATGATACATGCCTTGGCGGCTGGGAGGTCAGCTCTTTGCAGATGGTCCACCTAGCTTTGCGGGTGGCCTCGGGTTTCAGCTTCGAACAGTTGTGTCACTTCCACAATGAACTGCAGTCAGATAACTTCAGCATACTTCAGCTACAGTTCTCTTTGCCTTAAACATGTATTGTAAATGGAAGCTCCTTTTTGCCATGATTATTCATGTTAGTGGCAGGCTGGATAAAATCCGCCCTGGTCCACTTCTATGTGCGCCTTTTGAAATCGTTTGATGTGATGAAATTGTTGTTGCTTTGTTTGGTGATGCTGTATGAGTTCAGTTAGGTGCCTTGCTGTTCAATACAGTATGAGGAACAATTGAGTAGCGGTGTTTGATTGAATTATAAAATTTAGATTAGACTGTAGCTCACCAAATGTTTGCGAAAGCATTTGTGTGATACATTATGTGTGGCGAAGGCTCGCCTTTGGCGTAGGCCCTTGGATTTCACACAGGCGAAGCCAATTCGCGAAGGCTAACTTAGAGTGTGTTAAAGGTTGCGAAACCAATTCGCGAGCCTTTGGTGTTGTGCGAAGCCTCGCAAAGCCTCCCTTCCCACAAATTCTGACCACGCAGCGAAACCCCAGCATAGGCAACCCAGCAGTGAATAGGCACTTTACCCTTACAAAAAAGATCAAAAAAGGAAATGGCTCAATTGTTCAAGATCAAGCATTTGCGTCAAGAAATTGGCATCCCTTTGGCGCTCGCATGCGGGCCGCACCTGCTGCTGCTGCTGTTTGGAAGAGATTGAACATTAGTTATATATATAATTTGAGACGTGGCAAGTTGCTCGCAAAAGCACCTTCACTGCCAGCTTGGGTGCTCTTGATCACCAAGCCGGCTCCAGTGAAACCAACGTGTTGAACACCTCAAGAGGCAGAGGAGTTTACTCGTCGACCTGCAGGGCCTGCGGCCGCCTGCAGCCTTGTCATCGAGAGCACTGCGGAAAAGCCTGACCACTGCGAACGGGGCGTCAATTTTGAGAGCCTTTGGACATCAAAAAAACGACATTGGCACCAAAATTGTCAATGTGTTCAATTAATTGTGTTCATGTGAAATTTAGGGTACATCGTTTGGCCTTCAACGCCACTGCAAAGCCATTCATCATTCCCTACAAACTCAATCTCCTGGATCTCGCGCTGCAAAGCCCGTGGTGTAGGACGCCTAGTGATGCCTCGGCAAAGGAAGATGTATCAAGATTCAACATGTTCATGCCATCCCGCATGTGAGAGGGCTGAAAAGCCTGCATGATACAGTTTGATGTGGCCACTTGGCATGTGCCACCAGTCTCCTAGCAGACGCTTGCTTGGATGAGTATGAAGAAATATGATGGTGTTAATGCAAGCAAATTCATGGCATGTCCGGAACTGGGTAGTGAAGCGACCCCCCTGTGGAGCGACCATTTTTGAGGCTGCGAAGGCGCTGGGGCAACCATCGCCCCTGTCTTTAGCAGCTGCAGCAACCGCCACAGTGCAGTTCCTCAGGACTCAGAAGAAATGAGAAACACAAGATTAAACATTGCAAAGTTGGACGCCCAAAATTGGATCATTAGAGAAAAATCAAATGGGTTGCCCTTGCAGGGGTGCCGCATGATGACTAACTACCTGCTTGGCGTTGTTCCCACTCGTTGCAGTTCTTGGGAAAAATCCCAGCCTTCTTCTGGAAGATCAGATGTTGGGGAGGCAAGTTGCGCAAGCGAGCCCACTTGGATGCACTTGGATCCCAAATCTAGTTATGAGATGTTATGAGATGTTACTAGTTTGGAAGCTTCCAATGATCCCCCCAGTCGGTCTCGTTCCTTCCTCGCGTGCCGCGTGCGAGGCAACGTCCGTGCGGCGAAGGTCGGGTCGATCTCAGTCCGAGACCGAGACGGGTTGAGACGGACGACTGGCCGATTGGAAGTGGAAAAGGGCCTCTGGACCCGGAATGGAAAGACCATGTTCAGACCAAACAGGGGATGGTCCACTTCCAGAAATTTGCTTAAGGGGGGGCACTGTGGGTAGACAACACAGACCCTTTCTCCTTG